TGGCGTTGGAAACAGTGTTTACCTGCGCAGTGCCAGAATGGTGAGCTGCTTTGGACAGAGTTTCAGCACCGAATACGGGTCAAATGGTTGCCTCCGGTTTGTGTACGACTTGGAATCCAAGTGGTGCGAGAAATCAGCCGACGGCCTCCGCCACGTTTTTATATTACAGCATCGATCGTGTCTAGCATTCCATTAACAAACAATGAAACATTGTCAATCGCAATCGATTGGAAGGCTTAAACCTTATTATTCAACTGGCTGTGGATAATCAATCAAGCCATAATATAAACTTTTCCCTGGACCAGTCCGTTATTTTAATCATTCAAATATTGGCCTTATGCATAAAATACAGAATACATGCTCACAGAATTACACTTTTCGTTTTAAATTGAATATTAAGTTCAACAAAATATATGTACAGTATGACGAATGCTGCAAGCAAAATGTCGCAATTCGGGAAAGACTGGTAATCACCCTCAAAACAACATAAAATCGGATCGTACTACTGATAATTGTGAAGGTATCCGTCGGTTGTAGAAACAATTCTTATTTTGAGATTTTTTACGACTGTGAGGTGTTTATTCCTAATACACCATATCGGTCAACGTATTAACGGTGCCGATTATGTATACAGCATAATCTACATTTATTGTAAAATTTTATGAAAACTATGTGACTTCCGTTCTCAAACCGTAGGCAAAACGTATTTTTTCTCAAGCAGGGTGTACACAGCATGCAGTTTGTAAACCCTGAATTGACGCGTAGCACTCGGTAGGTTTCAAAATTATTCGGCCATGTAGAAACATTTTTAAACCGAAAGATACCCTTTCTCTAAGTATACATTTTAAAGAAGGCGTAATTTTCTACCAAATGATTACAAGAAAGAACATGGTTTCTATAAGATCTATTTGAATCTCAAAAGGCAGTCAACATCAATGATAAGAATGCATACTAATTAAACAGCCATTTATTTACAGAATATACTTTTTGTAAGCGGTCAAAAACAAACTCATTAAAAGGCCGGCATCTGGATGTGACTGGAATGACTTGAGATTAAGCTGCAGGATAATCAGTATTACAATCCTACCTAATGTTGTTTTTCGAGGGATTATCAGTCTTTCGCAAGCTTCGGCGTTTTGCTTGCAGCACTCGCCATACCGCTATACATGAATATGGTAGTTACCCTTGAGAAGACGAAAAAAGCTTAAGTCACTTGGAAGTTACCTATATACTCAAAGCTCGAAAGACACCTTTGAGTTAATTGCACTATAAAATTGAAATTCCTCAAAGGCAACTCGACTAAATCAGTTCAGTCGGCCTCTCAATTCTTCGAATACCTTTAAGGTCGGACAATTAAATCGGACGAAATCATAGTCTCCTTTGATGTGACTTCGTTATTCACATCCATACCACCACATCTGGCGCACGTAGTCTTGCGCAAGAACCTCGAAGATACATATCATGAGGCTCGAAGCCCTCTAGAAATTGAACATATCATCAATTTATTCAAAGTTTGCAATAAAACATACTTTATCTTTGCTAGAGAAACCTACAAAAAGCTCAAGGGAACTCCGATTGGCTCCACGATCGCCAGTTTAGTGGCAGAACTGGTCTTACAAGAGCTAGAAAACACCGCTTTCACCCAACATAATCCTGACTTTTGGCGTCGTTACGTTGACGAGATTTTTCTTATCATCGAGAAGAGCATGCTGCAAAATTTCCATAAATTAGTCAACAGAATCTATCCCGACATACACTTCACGGAGAAAGAACAAGACCAGCAACTACCATTCCTTGATGCCCTCGTCAAGAGAACGCCCAACGATGATGCTGAAACGGCGGATTACAGAAAGGCAACGAACTCAACACAACTTCTCATTTTTTTCCAGCAACCATCCAGTTGCTCACAGATTGAGCTATGTAAAATGCCTTTTAAACGGATTCAGCTTCACTGCAGTAGGCCGGAGGAAAGGGTACGCAAGAACCGATATTTCTGAGACCAATTTATGCAGAATGGTTATCTAAAGGCGTTTAGAAGTCAAGGCCTACGCGTTCGGCCCTGGAGGAGCAAAACGTAAGAACCACCCAATATATGGCACGTTCTGCCATACATCAGTGGCATCTCAGAAGCAACTGAGCGAGTCGCTGCGGGACAAGATGTTGGAATTGCACACAGACCTAAAACTACCATGCGGAGCAGGGTAATGAAAATAAAAGACGGCCTGGGTTAGTGTATCGCCTACCATGCCTTTGCTGTTTGCTATACAGGCCAAACTGAACGCATGTTCGGATCGCGCATGCATGAACACTAGCTGGCCGTACGACGAGGCGGCGAATTATCACAAGTTTCAGCTCACATCTACAAAACGTCATGAATTCAACTCCGCGGCTGTGAAGGTACTCGCCCACGCCGGAAACAAGAAGAGCAAATAATTGACCGAAGCCTGATCCACGGACGGGAATATAATCAGCCGATGTATCGAATTGGCACCGGCATACAGTCTTTCGCAATCACGTACAGTCATAGTCAGACGTCCGTCACAGTTAATTGCACACATCCTCCATAGTTACCCCATTTTCACTGCTAAAGCCCCGATTAACTTGGATCACTGACGGTTAACCAACGCATACCTCTATAATTGCCTCCATCCCTAGCCACTTTTTACATCGCACTTTTTTACCCCTCAAAACCTAGTGACCCTTGACAGTTGATTGGTGCACACACACACACTATAATTAGCCCCTCTTTTTTGCTGTTTCTTACTTCTGACGATGAATTTCTGTAAAAGTTCAAAAGCTCAGGATTGTTGTTCGACAATCCTTCTTCCTTATGCATGCAAATACCTGCAAGATTACAGAATACGAATGTTGGTGGAAGGAAAATGCTCTCCTTGGAAGTATTATCACATTTAATAACGCACCCGTATTAGAGACCGTAAACTATCTCTGTGACATTATTAGAGACACGAACTACCAGATAGGTATGCCCACCAAAGACCTTAAATAACTACTTAGGTGGTGAACACAAAGTGTGTAATCCCTTTGCAATGGCCAGTCCTACAGGCAGATAGACGATGTGGCGATGGTCTCACCACTTGGAGAGTTTCTCGTAATTTTTTTACAGGCAAGATAGAGAAAACGGGTCTAAGGCACACCATTAATGTCCTCGAATTTTACGGTCGATATTAGGATGACATCTACTGTCTGTCAGACCATAACACTGACACCAACGTCCTAGTCCGGACGTTTAACAACGCGCATCCATCGCTCAAAGTTTATGCACAGTCGGAGGTAGCTGTAAAACACATTTCTTGAAAATAAATACCCAGAAAGTTTCATCCTCAAGGATATTGGCGACTGCGCCAAAGAGTCTGCTACTTTAACCTTGCAGTTATTCATATCAACTTAGTCACTATGTGACAGTCTTGAGGGTTTGCGTTGCGAGCT